GAACCTCTTTCTCATAATAAAGTAACCCGGACATAATGATATTCTCTCCTTAATTACACACCATCATTAAGTCGCCCGAATAGAATTACCATGCCCTATGGAAACCTTTTATTATTCAATCCACATAACTTCTAGTAGTGGTTGGAGCTACACTGCGCATTCATTGTGCGTTGCTCTCCCAACCAACCGTTACAGCAGATTAGTCATGTCAAAAAAAATTGTCAGTCTATATTTTTGTATTCGGGATCTAAAAAAATTCATATGAATTTTTTATATAAAAATTTTTTGGAATCCGAATTATAAGTATAAAATTAATAGCCTGAATACAGAAAAAATAGTCTGAGTGGCTTGTATATCACGTCAGCGACAATTTTTTTTTTGACATGACTAATCTACCTGGCATAGGCCAACACTGATTACAACCGGTGATTTTTTTTCGACCGGAGTTCACCGGTGGTATCTTTATTTCATATTTATCTTGAGGCATCCACCTTTGAGGTCCTGTGGCTGATATTCAAGCGTGGTCATGGCACGGTTTTTGTCCTCCAAGAACCCGGGAGCGCAACCATTATGTCATACCTTTATTTTATTAATGAAACATTAGATTTTTTATAAATTTTTATATCTTTATTAAAATTTAATCCTTTGGAAAACTTTGAGTTTCAACGTCAGCATCACACAGCCTAACATACGTGCAAACAACTCGTAACAATAGGTACAGACATACAGTAATCACGTACGTACAGTCAACTTTTAGGGCTTATTAAGAGAAGGAAAAAAAGTTTAAGTTATTTTAGTATCTAAATCAGAAATGTAATAGAGTATGTTATAACTTATGCCATAAGCAATTACGGCACACAAGTCATGATAGTTTCTACCAAATCTCCAGTTTAAACCGAACTGCATAATAAAATTGTAATTTTCAGTTTATCCAGATTCGGTTAAAAGAAAACTGACTACACACTACTCTTTATTAGTCCTTCCACTAATTTCTGGATAAGCTGTTACGCTGGTAATATATAGGTGTGACTTGATTATTAATTAATATTTATTTTTTTTGTCTTGTGACTTAACCATATTATGTTACTAATTTCGGGAAGAGTGTACTAAAATTTGAGCTTAATATTACTAAAAATGAGCGGAATATCAGTAGAGTTGTATTGATGATGGGAGAAATGTCTTTATGAATGGTAGATTTCAGCATGGTTTTATCATAGTGTCCAATGTGCATAAAAACATTAGTTTTTCACGCCTCTAATAAAGTTAGACAGTTCTCGCTGCTTTAATTATACATTATAAGATGATTTTAAGAATTTGTTTTAGTGTAGATTCATGAATATTAGTCGTTAAACAATGAAAATCTGGTTTATCAATAACTATTTTATTGCGTCCGATTCTTATCTCGTAGTAGCCAAAGTAAACTCCACGGTACATTACCATGAACTATCATATTTAGTTATGTGAAGGCTACTATGGTCGTCGGGTAATTTTAACTCGAGTGAATGCAAATGAAAATTCTTTTTAGGAAATATGAATATAAAAGCATAAGCCAGAACAGCCAAAAATATTTATTTCATAAATATTACAAAAGAAAACAGAACAAGCATAAAAACCAAAAATTTCTATCATATATCTTATATTAAAAACATATAGCATATATCGGAAAAGGCTTTTTCCCTTTTTTAGACAAGTTTTCATTCAAAGAAGATTATAAAGATAAATCAACGCTTTGTTCCAAAAATAGAAGGAAGCAGTTGATACACTGAATTTCCACCTGATATTTTTAAGGAGATTAAAGTAATTTTTAAAAATATGTGATATGTGATTTTATGCTACGTCATCGAGAACTGGCTTTACCATATTTACCTTGCGGAAAAATATCATAATTTGGATAATCGTACGAAGATTGTGCATCAAAACCAGTTAATGGTGCCTGACCTAGATTTCATAAAGATATTATATACTGTATTATTAGCATTGATTTTGTTCATGAAATTTTAGTACCAAATTTGATAATTACCGTTTAACTCAGATTGGTAAGTGCAACATTTTTTCTTAATAAGGCACCTTTGGCAGGGTTTCAAGCCATTGCACTTTTTCTTTTGTTTTCTACACAAAGTGCAAGCTTCCTTCGTACGTTTTCCTGACATAGTTTATAAATGAAATGCGGAAGTATGAGATAATTAAGTAACCGCAGTTTGTATAATTGCGAGTACGAACTGTTGCGAAATTCTGGGAAAAAGGAAAAACGGCCAGGAAAATTGCAACTGAAAAAATAAGACACACGGAAAAAGCCATCATATATATTAGCACTAAGAGCGGATGATTCTCAACTTGTAAACGTTTTGTAGTTTACTCTTCCCGCTACGGCAAAATATTATTGATACTGTAGTCTGTTTATTGGTCAAGACCTCTATCTTGTATAACCGTAAAACCTCGTCAGTCGTCAGTTGTCATGTGTGGCTAACTATAAAAAGGTAAAAAGTAAAAGGTAAAAAAGTAAAAATTTATAATGTTAAACTAATATTATCGCCACTCAGACGTGTAATATTATTTATGCTAAATCGAAAATCGATAGATTTGTTGTTAAATATGTAATATGGCATTTATAAATATTCATTAATTGCAAGATTCCGCTTCCATATTTCAAACATGCCTACTGCTATATAATTTACACGTTGACATCCTATTGCTATGATGGGTACTACACGTTTTAATCTGTCATGACTATTGTCATGGTCGCCACTACACGTTAGCATACGCCATCCTATTGCTATATAAAGTATGCTAACGTTTACATCCGTTATTCTTATTGCAATGCGGGTGTCACGTTTACGCCAACTATTCTTATCACAATTACGGATGCTGCACGTTTTACATCCGACATTCCTATCTCAGTGACGTATGCTTCATGTTTATATCTGATATTCTTATTGGTGTAACTAAACGTTTTACATCCGCCATTCCTACAGAATTAGTGAATGTTACACATTCATTCGTAATCGCGGATATTACACGTGTAACACATACGTCATATTATTCATATCGGCACTTTTACTCGTCATTGTTACATCCGACATTGCCGCCCATTACATCCGACATTTTCTTGTCAATTGTTACATCCGACGTTTAGTTTTTCGTTACATCCGCTGTTCTTTTTTTTAATCTGCATGTCATTTCTCATGTCACTTCGTAGGTTATTTGCTTTTTCTCTTATACTTTATTCCAGTTACATCCGCTTGGTAACCGCAAATCATGTAAACAAACATAAGATCATAAAATCTTTTATTGCACCTGACACTATAAAATACATTGATTAAATGGCTTATAAATGTCAAATTTATTAAAGTTCTCCCTTGTCTTTTGATCTTTTGCACTGAATTGCTTCCATTTTTTTTATTGCAAATCATAAGATCTCAAGTTCACAATGAAAGATAAACCAAAGCGTACTCATGCAACTACTGCGTGTATTAATTGTCGAAATAAACGTGTACGATGTTCTTATGATATAAACACTTGTAAAAATTGTGCAAAACAAAATCTCCAATGTATTTTTATTAATTCTGGTAAAAAACGTGGGCCTAAAGGATTAGACAACAAGAACGTTATAAATCAAGATGATAAACATCGTGCCGTTAATAATCATGATGTTGCACTATTAAATGATTATAACGCATACAATTCATCCCTTTATCAAAATGTACAAGATATCAATCATTTTGTCAACACTCATGGAAGTCATTACTCGGAATTTCAGATGGATATCGTTTCTCAAGGATCTTCTTACTACTATCCCATAGAACTTTTTTGGTATTTATTGTTAACTAATGGTATACTGCAAAACAACTTTTTTTTTCTGTGTTTTCCTCAATGATTGTATACTTGATAATATAGTTTAAATTTTTTGTATTTTGATTTTCATTTCCTGATTTGAGAGCTATATTCATTCTGTCTTTATCAATGCATGTTTTTGTTTAGATATTGTTAAAATACGGTGACTCACAACATTTATTTGTAAAATTTATATTATATTTTTTATGTACTATAATTAAAATGTTTCAAACCAGCCAATTGATTTAACAAAATGTTTTATCTCGAATGTGTAAATTAAAAAACTAGAATGTACCATATTTATACTATACTAACCTCAAATTATCTCAAGTTCGATGCAACTAAAATACTCTAATATGTGTCAACGAGTCAGGAGCTTATATTAGAGTAAAAATTCTTGTCAATTCTGTTAAGTGACAGTGAGGATTTAAGTGGATTGTATTATGAAAAGGCTTATGGCTAGTGAATTTGAATTGAGTAGGAAACGATCTTTTTGGCTTGTTTTGGATGTTAATCTGGGCTGTCCCAAAATTCTAGCCACTTGATAATTCATCACATACCCCAGATAAAAATTGAGGCATCTCAGACATTGACCCTTTACCTACATTCTTATCATGCATCTGAGGTATGACAGATACATTCAGACCTCCCTAAGTACTACCACCTTTAAGTACACAAATTCTGACCCAAATATATACTTGACTTCTATAAATGCACTTTTTATTATAATTATCCAAATGTACGTTGTTAAAGTGTGGTCCCAAAGGCGTGCACTTAGAGAGGTCTGACTGTATATAAATACTTTTTATTAATTTTAGTATGTAAAAGACTTTGTAATAATTAGGAAACAGAAACCATTAATTTAAAATACTATCTTGAATTTTAGATAAATTTAATTATTTGGCTAAAAGTAACTTAATAAATTAACATATCTTGTTAAAGATTTGAATATTTTAAATCATAGCGTCTGATAATTTATAATTTATAACTTACAAAACTGAAATCAACTGAAAATCAAAATAGCATTAAAATCATAAGCCTTTACTATTCTTAAAAATATTCAAAAAGAAATATTTATGCGTAAAGATTTAGTTAATGCTTTTGCTAATGATTTTTCTTCATCCTTAAATCCATTGAATCTAATATCTAAAGAAGTCAGACTAGTGTTGTTGTTAAGGGCCTTTGCAAATGCTTCTACACCTTTATAGCCAAGTTGATTATTCATAATGTTTAAGGAAGTTAGGGTATTGTTTTTGCAGAGTGCCTCTGCCAATGATTTTCCTCCTTCAGGACCGAGTTTATTCCATCTAAGGTTCAAAAAAGTTAATGCGGTATTTTCACTGAGAGCATCTGCTAATACTTTTCCTCCTTCAGAGCCAAATTTATTATCCTCAATATTCAATGAAGTCAATGAAGTTCTTTTGTAAAGAGTCTTGGCTAATTCTTTTACTCCCGCAAAATCAAGTTGATTAGATGTAAGATCTAAAGAAGTCAAAGTAGAATTTTCATACAGAGAATTTGCTAATATTCTTCCTTCCTCAGAACCAAATTGATTATATGGAATATCCAAAGAAGTTAGTGTAGTGTTTTTGCGAATAGCCTCTGCTAAAAGTTTTGCTCCCAAAAAACCAAGGTTGTTCTGTCCAAGATTTAAAAAAGTCAAAGTGGTGTTTACGCAAAGAACTTCTGCAAATGCCTTTCCTCCTTCATTACCAAGTTGACTATGGAAAAGACTTAAAGATTTAAGGGTAGTATTTTGGTAAAAAGCATTTGCCAATTCTTTTCCTCCTTCAGAGCCAAGTTTATTCCAGCCGATGTGTAAATAAGTCAAAGTAATATTCTTGCAAAGTGCCTCTGCAAATAACTTTCCACATTCAGAATCAAGATAATTGTGTGCAATACTTAACGATGCCAAAGAGGTGTTTGTGTGAAGAACTTCTGCGAACGCTTTTCCTCCTTCAGGACCAAGTTGAATATCATCCACATCTAAAAAAGTTAATGAGGTATTTTTGCAGAGGGCCTTTGCTAATTCTATTCCTACTTTGGAACCAAGATTATTCCTGCTAATATCCAAAGAAGTCAGAGTGGTATTCATGCGAAGAGCTTCTGATAAATTAATCCCTTTTTGAGGACTAAGACAACTATCATGAAGATTCAAAGAAATTAGTATAGTGTTTCTGATAAGAACCTTTGCTATTCCATTTGCTGCTTCAGGAAGTAAATATTGTTTAGAAAGATTCCAGTCCGAAGCAATTTTCTGATCTTCGGCATCAGATTTATAGTTTTTGAGAATTATTTCATAAAATTCCAGTGCTTCAACATATTTAGCCTTATTAAAGCATTCTCGTGCCCTTTTCTCATATTTTTAAGCGCAGTATTATCTTGGATTGGAGTATCAGGTAAAATAAGTTTATTTAGCGTTTCTAGGATCGATTCTGTATTCGGGCGAATAATTGGATTGTTATCCCAGCATTGCTCGTAAAGTTTGACATATTGAGATGGTGTACCTTCCACTGGCTTTTCTCTGTGGCCTTGTAATATGTAAGAACAAAGTGCCATATTTGATTCGAATGATTGATAGGGACACCTTCCACTTGAAATCTCCCAGAGAACTATTCCAAAGCTATAGACATCAGATTTCACATTACGTTTATATCCAATATTAATAAGGCATTGAGGTTCCATGTAAGCTGGCATTCCATGAGTAATTGAATTTGAAGTCATTGATGCGTCATTTATTTGTTTTGATAGCCCAAAATCTGCAATTTTTGGTCGTCCTTGGTGAATTAAAATGTTCTTTGAATGCTGTTAAAGATATAAATTAAAATTCATATTAATTAATTCATTTGAAATATCTAGAAGCAATACAATATACTTACAAGGTCTCGATGAATAATATTATTGTCATGTAAGAATATAAGACCAAAAACTATTTCTCTAGCAATGTGTAATTTACATTTCCATTTCAATGTTTTAAAATTTGTTCGCAAGTATTCCCGTAAATTTCCATTGTCAGCATACTGTAAATCATGTTATAACATCCATTGTGATCTATTTGTAACGGATATATAGTTAATAATTATTTATTGTTAGATTCAACATTAAAAAATACAATAAGTCTACCTTTTGTGATTCCGTAGAACGAGATAATATTTGGATGATTAGAAACTGTTCTCAATAATCTGAGCTGTTATTTTAAAGTGTAATTAAGTAATTATACAATATAAGCAAAGCGTTGTTCTTAGTACAATAAATTATACCTCGTGAATAAACTCTTCATTTGTGCTTGCATTATCTCTAAGGCATTTAAGAGCGACTGTTAATTTGCAACTTTTCCATTCGTGTTTAGAAACCGTTCCAAAACCTCCGACTGCAATTACTACAAAGTTATTAAACTTATCATATTCATGATAATTAATATGCCCATCGGAAATAGCTTTTTCGAACCACTCTTCTGATGTATTCGCCATACGGTAAATTTAAGAAATGTATACAGTTCACTAACTACAGTAGGTGACGTGATACAAAACTCAATTTATTTTGTAATGTCAATATTTTGGTTACATGTTTACTTTGTAACAAAGACAGTAACCTATTGGTATTGTTACTAATGTTTTGGAAAGCAGGGGAGTACATATCCGATTTAGCCAAAATAGTAAACATGATGAGTAATTAAAATGTAATCAAGATGCCGAAATTTGAAACTTTCTCTATAAAAATTTTTTGAAAAACGTATCACAACTTTTCCCAGACTATCGTTCCGGAAAAATGCTCATTTTTCCGGAGTAAAATATATGCAAATTCCTGGCTGTTTATATAGGACCCTGATAAATGTTGATTAAAATTTAATTCGGGCAAGATTCAGCTTCTAATTATAATGAAGATAAAAAAAATTATAGGCCGAATATTGCCTAACTTTAAAGTTGGTGATTTATTTGCATTAGTATTTAAAAATTGATTTGCTCGGTATTAATTGCCCTGCGCACTCATGCAAAATTATTTAAAAAGTTGGTGAGCAATACCATTTAGAATACAAATTCGGTATAATGAATGTTTTTGTTTATCAGGTGACACTTTGTATTATTATTCCAAAATTCTATTAGGTAAATTGACTTTCGATGGGCAGAAAAGCCTCAAACTGCTAAATTCGATTATCCAAGCAGTAAATACAGATAAAGTAAATTAGTAAAAGAATTTGATTTTCATATGTAATATAAAATGTCTGTATATTTGCCATTGAAATAGAGAAGAGCCAATTCGCATTAAAGCTTTTCGCTAAAAACGAAGTTGTGCATCTAAAAAGGTACTTCAATTTCATATATTTATATACAAATTTGCTACTAATTAATTATATTGAAAAAAATTTCAGTAAGCTTAAATATTAGACCATATATAGTTAGTTGACAGACCACCCAGTGATTAATCCCCATAGTAGTATATTGGGTGGTCGATCATCCAATAAAATTAAACATACGTCTAGCCCCATGTAAATTTGTAATATTGCAGATTTTTTTTTATCATTATGAAAAACAATCAAGTTTTTTATTACATAAATTATGATATGTGACGATTAAGCACTAAGCAGTGATAAGGTGAATGATGTCCATCTTTATAGATAATAATATTTATTCGAAGCGAGGCCACAAATGCATTTTCTAAAAGATTTAAATAGTTATTCAGCCTAAAAAGAAGTCTTAACACTTCTTTCACAAAGTTCTGTTAAAATATTTGTACTATATGTATAGTTTTATCAATTTGTATGCGCGTTATTTATAATACGCGCATGGGCATTATTTCGAGACAAAGATTGATTATTTAATAAACCTGCTTTTCCAAGTAATGACCATGTGCATTATATGGGTAATGGTCTAGAAAAATCTGTCTTTAGCACTTTTGGTCGATTTTAGAAATTTCAATTCAAATTAAACATTGGCTATTTATATGAAATAACCTTTTATTTTATATTAGCTTAATTAAATATTGGGATTTTTAGATTTGAAAATTCAATTCTTCGAAGACATGGCAACCAATTAGAAGATTGTCGACTTAACTTGACGAATTTAATTCAAGCATGTGACCTTGTTCGTATAAAAAATTTATAACAATACCTATAAAATAAATCAAATCTGGGATTGAAATTTCGTGTAATGCAAATATTAATCGCATTTTTTTTAAAAGCTCAAACTACCTGTCGAAGATCGATTTTCATAGACCATATCACAGATACTGTATATTATAGGGTGCGCATTATTTAGAGATGCGCATGGGCGTTATTTGAAATCTCATAGACTATTTTGAAGTGACGCGATTTTCTAAATAATGCCATGCTCGTTATTTCGTGAAAAATACGGTATTATATTTTATATATACCAATTTGAAATATATTTTGCAACTGAAAATTTTATTATGGTACAATA